GTCCACTCATCTTAAAGTGGCCAAGTTTGGACAATACTGGTGTAAACAAGTAAGTGGAAGGGTGTGTGAGCATGCCTCCTGTGGGCCTTTTCAATACTAATGGCACCTTTAGTTCCAAAGCAGCATTCCTCTTATGGGATTATAAGAATGCCATTTATTGCTGTTATTGCCAATGCAAGAGAAGAGCATTTTGCCAAGGACTCTCTGAAATCTGCGATGCACATGAAAAATAGACAATAGTTCAATTGCAAAAGGGACGGTATATATTCCTGGATGGGCAAAAAAGACCTCTCAGAAAATATTCTGCTTCTTCCATGCAATTTACTCCTCTCAGGACTGTTTTACAAGAGAGAAGAAGAATGATGCTTGATGCTCCCAAACATGAATTATCAGACAAATGTCTAGGTGTTGCCTGAGAAATGTCTTAGTGATATTTTGTTTGAGTTTATCCATCTCTCTATCTCTCTGCATCTAAACACAAAGAATCTGAAACATCTAGGAAAAAAGAAACAACATGTGTTTGTTCAGAAGTAAAGAGAGCACTGGTGGCCATCATGCTTTATTAATTTCTTTTAAAAATGAATAAAAATGCAGCTATATTAAGGAATCAGGTCAGTCACTGCCTGGAGAAAAAACAACTAAAATTCATATTTGATTCTTCAGCAGAAAGTGTACAGCAGGCTTCCAACTTAGGAGATCCTTTGGTTTCACTGAATACTCAAGATAACATTTGCTTATATTTGTCCTCACTTTTATGTTTGATTTAATTTCTGTAGCAGTTTCAGTACGTTGGTTGTAAGTTTTTCTTTTCTTGCTGTATATATGCAGACCAGGAAATCTCTGTTTACTGTGCCTGGTGGCAACTGCTTTGTGTTATAAGAATGGTGTATGGTTATTCCTTCCTGCATAAATATTCTTCTGCACTAATACTCACTCTAGCAAGTTAATTCTAAAAATTATGGGTTTCTCTGGACTCATTTAAGTAAAATGTGCACAGATTGGTATTTATTTGTTTACTGGTTTTATATCCCAGTTTATATTTGTCACGGGAGAGAGTCAGGAATTACTTGTATCATGAGCTGGAAGCTCTTGACCCGCAAAGAGGCAATGGGTGGATTAGTCCTGGACTTTAACCACAGGAGAGAGAATAAAAAATTCCATTGCTTGTGTTTATATGAAACTTAGTGATTGGTATACAATAAGAGGAACCTAAAAATTCCAGCACAACATTCTATTCATGTCAGCCACTATCGAAATTAACTCAGAGTCAAAGATAAGGCTTTGGACTTATCTTCAGGCTAACCAGGACATTCTTAAACAGCAGTACCAAGCTGTTTGTGGGGCCCTCGCTTGGTTATATCAGGAGGTGCATCCCAGTTGGCAGCCTTTCCCCGTATACTCAGTCATGACTCACCTGCTTATGGGAAATGAGACTTCTCTCTTTCTTCCTGCTCAGTCAGTGCAGCATTCTGGTGCTCCTGGACTGGCTTTCTCCTTCCCTGCAAATGCGGAAGGATTTGATTAGAGCTGTTTCCTCCAACGTACTCAGTTCTGAGTGTTCAGTACAAAGCAGTATATTGCTCTGGTCCCAGCCCAGTGGGGTTGGGTGACAGGGACTTCTGGATTGGGAAGCAATTACCACACCAGTATGAGTACTGCAGGCATTACTCCAAGGCAGTATAAGAAAATAACATAATCACATAACATGACAGAGAAATCAAAGAATATTCAGGAATACTGAAGAATATAACATAACTCAAGATAGCAATCAAAGAATATTCAGGAATGTAAGAATCCAATAAGACAAAGAAACAAAGACCTTACACCCTTTCTGCCAGTCAGGGACGCCTCAAGAGATGATGCCAGCAAATGTTCAGCATCCTTCCAGTCAGGTCTGCATCAGAGTTCCATCCCATAGGGTTTCTGCCTAACTTAGATAGTTTGCACACCTGTTTTTGATGGTCTGATCTCATCAGATTTTACCAATGACAAGGATAAGTTTGCCTTGTCTGGTCTACTCATGCCAGGAATTAGACATTTGAGGCTCAAGGTTGTGGATTCCTGCCAAGGATCCCTTAACAAGGTTAAGAAGTATTTGTTTATACAAAGTAATGAGACCATCTCAAAGTTAAGAAATATCTGTTTCTTAAGGTTAATTTGTTTGAGGATGAGAAAGATAATCCAATTCTACACTGGTGTCTCACCAAGGACAGAGCAAAACAAAGTATGACCCAAATCATTTTAGTGAGTAAAGAAATGGTTGCCTGAGCCATTACATGAAAATATAAAATCATATAGCATTCTATATATCTTGAACCTAAGGTACACTCCATTATCCAATTCCTCCTCACCAATCTTCCATTAAAACCACCAGCACTACACACAAGTACAGCTTTTCCATCGTTTGTTCATCAACATCTGGAATGAGGTCCCCCCCCCGAGATTTGAACAGCCCCCACCCTACTGGTGTTTTGAAGGGCCTTGAAGGCTGGCTCTTCGCCCAGGCTTTTGGCAAGCATGACTGAAGCCCCCTTTTCTTCTTTTTCTTTGTTTCCATCTGGGTTTGTCATCTCTGCAATCTTTGTTCCTTTTTTTGTTTTGTGTTGTTTTCTTGTTGGAAACATTTTAACAATTTGTAAACCACCCAAAGTCGCTGGTAGTTGGGAGGCATATAAATTTAATAGTAATAAATAAAACATTGCAGCAATTTAGGAATTCAGCATTTCCCTGTCTATAATTTGCTTCTGTACCATTTGGGGCCAGTAAGTAGGTTTAAGGAGGGGATCCCCTGTGTCCTTCCTGCTGCAATACTTTAAAAATATGATTTTAATAGATCAGACAATGGCAGTCCAAATGAACTTTCTTTTAAGGATTATATTCAGAACAGTTAACAGTAATGAAATACAGCTAAGGAGAAAAAAGTACACCTAGAAACAAATACAAATAAATCAAATATCATCCACCAGTTGAGCCTGGTTTTAGGTTTCTCAATCAACTTAAAAGTCAGATTTTTGGCAGATTCCATAAGAGATGGAGATAGCTTGGCTTGGCTTGACTTGGCAGAGAACTCCTGAATGGAGGAGCAGCTACTAGGAAGGCAGCAGCTTTGCCTACATACTGGAGTGGGTGCTATATTAAAACAACAACAACAATAATAATACAATTCACATTCTTTGGATTCTTTCCTATAGGGCAGTTGCATTAGAAATTATGCTATGTATAATTGACAAAAATAGCAAAAGACTTTTATTGCACTTTCCAGGACATTAAACATCATAATTCTTGTCCAGAATTCAATGTGTTTGAGTGTGTAGCAATTTATGAGCAATAAAATAACAAAGCAAAGTGGCCTCAGGTTTATCAATTATTGCAGCATATGGGGGTGAATGTGCTTACAAGCTGTACCCCTACTTTTGATATGGAGGCAAACTGGATGGAGAATTTTCTCTTCCTAGCCTACCCTAGACATCTTACGTGTTAGCTCAGCTGATGAAGGAGGACACTTTATTTCAGTTCAAAAGCGGGATCCCATTGCTACAGATACCACAGACATGCTGAGTTGTGGACCCCACTTCTCTGACCCTCTTTTCTTTCCCATGCACCAGCCACAAAGAAAGCCCACTAAGTGGGCGCTGACTTTTTGTATACATAGTGGCAGCATTCTTATCCTGTACATTATGGGAAGTAGGAAACACTCTGGGCTAGTTCAAATGCAGCACTGAATCCTGGTTTGAAAGAGAAGTCCCAATAAAAGAAGGCCCCAATGAGTGATATGGTTTGCTAAGAAACCCATTTGACATCTGGTTTGATGTTACATCTGAATTTTACTTCTTATATTTCATATATGAGAAATACCTGTGAGAAATAAAATAAATTGCATTAATTGCAATCAATGCATGTATTGAAAATGAATAGCCCACTTTAGCATTACTTAAATAGTATATTATATATTACTGATATATGCTTTAAGATAGGAGATAAATGGAAAATATCTCAGTATCTTTTGAGAAAAGATTCCGTTCAGAGGCACTATGTTGCTCTGGCTCAATTAAATAAGGGTTGAAAATGGCAACAAGAATGTATAGCCGTCAGATAGGTGAACTGAATTCATAGATGTACCTGAATAAGGGGTTGGAAGCAGCTGTTTCCCCAGCCTCAAAGATAAGGGTCCACTGAGGGTCAGTGGACTATTTGGGCTATGGAATAGATTGCAGATAGCAAAAAAAACCCCAAAACCCTACCTTGTATTTGTGTTCTCTGTATTCAACTTAATAGGCTCAGAAATTGCTTTTACTTTCAAGAGATATTGAGAAGGGTTGCATCTCAAAGCATTACAGCAACATAATCGAAAAGAAAATTAGCAATGCAGATCAAAGACTTATCAGGTTTCACATTCTGTTCTCACAGTAACCAACAAGTTCCCTAATGGAATCTTACAGGCAAGCATGAGTTCAATGGTCTTCTCTCATTGCAGTATAGCGATTCTTCTTCAAAGGCATGCTTCCTGATCCTGGAGAGGAAACTTTTTTAGGATGTCTAGGAGCTATTGGTAGCATTATCCTCCATGAATCTGTCTAGAGTATATGTCCGGTTGTGAATTCCATATGTGCTGTGAGAAAAAAATTGTCCAGTTTCTTTATGGTGAATGACCCTGAATTTTTGTATCTATGGGAAATCTTTCCAATTTCATATATGATTCTGTCATGTTGCCTTTTACTCAACTAAAAAGGAACAGGGCTTGCACAGTAGAAATACCTTGTGATCTTAATACTTAATATCATATAGCTAGTTTAACAACTGTGTCATTATTATTCTCATTATTGCAAATGCAGAAAAGAAAGATAATTGATGTCTTCTTAGTGAGATTGTGTGTGAGTTAGCTGTGGCATTTGTTCTCAGCGTTGTAATGTGGATCACAGTTCAGCATGTCTAATAGTAGCATAAAGCTAATAGCTTTAATGTACAGTTTGTTACTGCCTATATGTTAAATATTTTTTTAGGTACCCATGTCATGGAAGGCTCAGGAAGAATGGTTGTTACTGCAGTGGGAGTTAATTCTCAGACAGGCATCATCTTTACTCTACTAGGTGCTGGAGGAGAGGAAGAGGATAAAAAAGATAAAAAAGGTACAAATTTACATTGAATATTTTCAAATAATTTCTGTATTTATAGCATAAGCCTAATATCCAAATTGGTTACGTAAGAATACTTGAATTTATGTGAATTCAGTCCAGTGAATTCAGTCCTGATTTATGAGGACTGTGAGTTGCCTTTACTACATGCACTGGATATTTTGAAGACTAAGTATGGATGGTTTAAAATATGAGAAGTGAATGTGATCTTAAATTAGCTATACTTCTTTGCAAATCTCATTTTGTATTATATATCCCAAATTCATTACAAATTGAAGTTGTACAAAGAATGATAAATTCATTGCTCTAATTAAAAGTTAAATTATCACTATAGTAATTCCGTCATCTGGAGAAGCTGAATTGTAATATCAAAATATGAAACATAAATTGAAGTATCTTTAACATTTTAATTTAAAACCATACTTATTTAAAGTTTTATCAAATTTTATTGCTCATGATTTTTATTTTAGAGGTTTCATTCTACTTACCAGGAGCATACAGATTAACCGTACTGTGTGACTTACGCGTATGGTAGCTAACATGAATTAATTTAAGTTTGCAAAAACAGAGTTGGATCCAAATATTCAGTTCCATGAAAAGAAGAAGGGTCCCTTCATGGATAATGCTTATGTGACTGTAATTCTCCTTCTGTGAATGGCAAATACTTCTATCCATGGAAATGAACATTTTAGACCCAATAAAATATCCACAGGCAAGCTAAGAATGTTTCCCACGTGGAATGTTTCTTGGAAAAAAAGCTGATTCTGTTCCATGGGAAGTTATGTGACAATCACTGTTTAATCTGCAGCCCACAAAGCCAAATCTTTTTACCCTAAAAATAAAGCTGTCCCTGAGTTGACTATGTGGACACAATCATGCAGTTTCCTTGGCAACAGTACTGAAGTGGTTCGCCATCGCTTTCTTCTGGGATTATTATTATGTTTTTTTTTCTTCCCAGACTCTTTAAACTACTGTAAGTTTTGAATAAAATAATAACATATACTACTCTTTGAGATTTGGCTAGAGATCTTTACAAATATCCAGTGAATTTTTCATTTAAATATTTTTTCTTCTTTATCAAGTCATGTATCACTAGTTCATCAGTAAACACATTACTGATGAACTCATTCTTCTTTCATAAAAGTCTACCCTGTGCCTGTAACAAACAGTCTTAAATCCACTTGAACTATAATGCCCCTCTGGCTACATCATCTGTAAAAACACCCATTTTTGTGCACTATTGCAAGTTGTATCCCAGCCCTAAGTGCTTCTGTTCAGAAACCCTTTTGAGATTTGCTGGGTCTTCTTCCCAAGGAAATATAGCATCCTTACACAGTATAGTATAGGAGTATAAAACTATTTTAAAAGCAACAATTTCTATAATATACTATATATGTGTATGTATATGTATATATAGTATACTATATATATATATATATTTATAAATGTTTAAAATAACATTTTTTAAAATTGATAATAAAATTATATATGAAAAATAATATGTATCTGAATAAATTCTGTGGCGACAACTGAGAGAAAAAATGCTTCTTCCCACAGCTAACAATATTCTATGCTATTGTAAGCAGTGGCCACAGTCCACCAATAATTTCTCACTGATTTCATTTGAACTTAAGAAAATATATTCCAGAGCTCCTTGGTTTTGACTCAGAATAAATAAGACTAGTGAAGAACAGTTCCCACAAAACAGTAAATCAGTTTTATCATTTCTTGTATCCACTGTTGCTAAGAACGGTATTTCTTGCCGGGATACGATGATACACCAGCATGAGTTAAAAAGTAATTTTCTCAAAAAGTATGGATGAGTGACTAAGACTTACTGTTTAGGCATTTTAAATAGAAATAGATAAAAATAGAACGAGATAAAGAGCCAGGCCGTCTCACTTGCCTTAGTTTCCCAGTGTCTGCAGTTTGTGCCTGCTTTGCTGGGAGAAGATCCTGTTTATTTCTCACAAGCTGTCCTCTTTTAAGCATAGTGTACAGTGCACCCTTGTCCTATTTTAAACAATCACTTGCCAGTTTACTCTGTCAGCTGAGGAGGAGGTGAAAAATAGGATTCATGTTTGTCCTATAGCTTTCATAAAATATTATTACATGTCAGATAAAACATTTAACCAGCTTTTAACATTAATCGTCATGAATGACTGCAGGCTCACTGAAGGAAGCTTCCAGTCACTGCTGTCCTCCAAGGACTTCTGTCCACGCATTATTTCTTTAAATAGGACTTCGGTATGCTTCCAGCATGAACCTTGTGAAAATGGGAATTGATGTACCTGCTCATTAGTTTATGTCCCTGTTCTCTAAGAACATTATACATTCATTGTCTGTGTGCTTGAGGTTTTCCAAAAGTCTGTGTTTGTGTTTCAGTTTCCTGTAGTGTATGTCTTTCTTCCTCATTAACATTTTGCAAAAATCATAATGCAAATATGAAACCGGAAGATGGGCATCAGCTTCCAGAGAGAATAAGAAACATACTATGCCATAGGAGGAAAATTAAGCTTTTAATGGGGACTCTCCTCCCAATGGCTGGAGGGGGAAAAAAAAAAAGACTTGAGTGAATAGTTCAGAAAAATCCTTTTGCTATTTAATTTGAATGAAAATAAATAATAAATTTGTATTTCTTTTTATCTCCATTTTTATCACTTGCTCCCTGGCTGTATGGCAAATCTTTGGAAAAGTCAACTTAAAATGTGAATTTGCCATTTTAAACTTTCATTTACATTTTGGTACATCACAGTGAAAATAAGGAAGATGATATGCCTGTTAACTGGGTAGATAGAATACATGCACAGGAACTTAGGAGCTTCCTTCAGTCAGGAGTGTAAACTTTGTCTGTCTTGATCACCATTTCCAAGAGGATGATGATCAGAATGGAATAAACAGGCTGGCTTAAAACTTAATGACGATCAGACCACATGCCTGTCAAGTACAATGACCTACTTCCCAAGCCTGCTTTCCTCTTGTTGTTCCTTAGTAGATGACATTACAGTGCTTATTGACTTCTGTTCCTAAAAAAATATCATTGTTCTAGAACATGTAGTCATGAAACTCCACAAACCTTCCATATAGGCTTTTGGCTGCTGCCACATCGGATAATCATAAAATTCTATAAAATTCTATACATTCTATTGAATTATCCCTATAATTCAAATAATCTAGTACTTCTTTCATGATCATGAGCTGACTATGAAGCAGCATCATTCAGTCTAAGACTCTGCTGTTGTTGCACTTCCTAAATGATATCTGAATCATTGGTTTTGCTGAAATCTGTTGGTCCTCGATAGTAGGGAGTAAATCCATCAATGGAAGCAGTTTGGCTGGCATTTAGTCAAACTCTGCAAATTTGAGTGTTCACAGTATTCTGCTCCAAGACTGGACTGTTGTCTCTGCTCATGCAGATTTCCCCCAAAATATTTTTAGCTAGAGGACTAGGAGCAGGAGTCTCAGCTCAATAGTTTAGTTTCCTGTCACCATGTAGGTTTTAGAATTATGGGCAGGTGATCTGTGCTTTTTAAAAAGCAGAAAATAGCATGCCTGTAATTCATACATGAAAATTAGGCATCAAAATAGATACATTAAACATTTAATGGGCATAATGCACCTACTTTATTTTTTTAAACCAAAGTTAAAATCCATAAATGAAGATTTGAAAATCCTGGGCTCACCCTTCTGATAACATCACTGTGTTCCCTGCTGCTGTGTGTGATTAAAAATAGGTTTTAAAATGAGCAACCCAAGACAACAAAAAGATGTGTTTATTTTGGAAGTTGACAAAAATTGATGTCTCCAGGGATTCCAGCATACATTCTTAATCTTAAATATTTGGAACTAGAATAGATAAACTAAGGACTGCATCTCTTATCACTTAAATCAGATGCTGGTCCAGACATGATTTGCATGACATTAAAAGGAAACTAAAAATAAATACAGAAAACCAGAAATGTTCACTTAGCATTTGCAATTCTCAGTACAGTATGTTTGAAAAGATCACGCGTAATGGAAAACAAATAAAACATAGATAACAGCAGAAGAAACTACTTCAGAGGAGGTTTTTATTATGGATGATTAATTCAGCTCTAGTCCAGCTACATTTCAATCAGTACAAAATCAGTAGGAAAATTTTGTTTTTTCTTGTGGTGTAAGAACTTCTTGCTTGTCCTGTTCCCCTTTTTGCAAGGAAAACTGCTGACAATTTTTGGCTTGTGGTTTATTTCTGTCTATTGTAAACATCAAACAATATTATAATGAACTTGTTTTTCTGAAACCAGACTATAAAGGGAATGTCAAACATCATTAGTGGATGTACTGCTGAGTTTTTAAAAAACACTATTAGGTTTAGCACTGAAAATGGTTCCTCATTAATGAATGAAGGGTTTTAAATAGGGTATTTTTTCAGATGGATTAAGTATATTCGTTATGAGTATTGTAATATTTTAATATCATTTAAAATATAATCTATCATTTATAGATAGATAGTTTTCATGAATGCAGAAATTTTTGAAATATTTTTTTCCTTCAGTTTTTTTAAAGTAACATAAGAATGTCTGCATAGTGGAACAAAGGAATTAGAAGTACTATATAAAGTCGGTTTCTCACCAACTTTGTTAACTCTGTTAAATGTCTTTCACATTTCCTTTTATATATAATATTCCATGTATGAGTTTTTGTTCTCCACGTCTGTAACATTCCTGAAATAGCATTCATTTCTAGACATTATGTTGCTTACTTTAAAACAACTATGTTTTTGGGGGAAAAATGAAGCCACATTAGTCCATAAATGTTTCTGTCATGTGAATTTGTTCATATTATTATGATTTTTTCTTTTTTCTTTTATTCATTATTACTCAGTAGATTCTTCCCATTCCTCCTTCCATCCTCCTCCAACTACAGATGGGGCAGCAAGTACAATTGCCACTGATAATGCAAATACCAGCTTAGTCAATGGTACGTTAAGAACACCGGGCTTGCTTTTATTTGAACAATGTCTCTCAACTCTGCCAGCTTCCCTCTTTCTCTTCGGAACTGCCCAGACGTGGGTTGTGCATGGGGTTACAGGGTGAGAGCGCCTGTTGCACTGCCGCTTATAAGAGATGCCACACAGCCAACTGTTCTATAGCCAGCCAAATTTGTCTGTCTCACTCAAGTAACAACGGGACCAGATTAAGTAGGAATCAAGGGATCTTTTATTATTCTTTCAAACCAGACCCACGTAGGAATAAAGGACTTTTACTGTTGAATCAGATTTTAAAGACCATCTTCAAGTATATTTCAAATCAGTTTCCTCCTTTCAAAGGCTTTCAACATCAAACTGTTGTTTCCATGCTTCTCAATCCATACTTGAAAGATGGCATGATTGTCTATTTTGTTTCTCATTCTATTTTTCCAAAGTGGCACTCTCATAAGCATTCATGGTCTCAATGTAGCTTTGGGGAAACAATCTTCCTGGGGTCAGGAATTTGGCTTAAATTAGTATTATTGCACTTCATTGTGCTGTCCTACAATCTTTTCTCAGCACCAAGTTAAGCATTTTCCATAGGGTATGATGCTAGAATAATATGTTTTTTATGAACTTCTATCCATGTGGCTTGGATAGGGTTTTATGCATTTTCCTCCTTTGAACAAAATATCTTCAGTTTTGAAATTTGGAATGTGCCTTTGGCCAGCTTCTTGACTCCATTTCTTAGCGTATCCATACTATGAATTCCATGTAAGAAAATAAATTTAAGTATGAACTGGGAATTTTTATCTGAGATTTAGATGAAATATTTGCTTGTGTATATTGCTGAAATGTCTTTGTTGTATTCATTTTATGCTTTGGCATCAACAACATTATGAATTATTGCTGATTCCACTAATAACAGAAGTATAGATCCATAAACCATAACTGAATCTTACGTTTAATAGGGGCAAAAAATTGTCACCAAGTATAGATCCTGTATTTTTCTTCAAGCAGATGTTCCCTCTCCCTCAAAAAAATCCCCAAAATGTGGGAAAGAAGGAAGACATTCAAAGGATTAGTTTCAATTTAGTCCGGAGATGTAGGTGGTAGATTGAATGCTGTTTGCTTAGGTAATACTAGTATCAGATTATATCCATTGATACAGGACAAAGGAAATAGCAGTTCCCATTAGCTCTGAAAAGGAGAACAAACAAGAGGTTCCAGTCTGTCCTTAGCTGGTGGCTTGGCAAAGCAGACGTGTTGAAACATTGCAGACATTACAAAAATAAAACCAGAGATTTTTGTACTATTTTAAAGTCAAGTAAGTTAAATTCTGTAATCACATCTACAGTTAGGAGGAATAAGACTCTCAAAACACATAGGTTCTCATTAGATAGTGTAACAGTCTGTCCTATAAAATAGATTCCATCCTGGACAGCTAAACATGTATATTCCAAGATTGATAAAAAGCAACCATACTGGTTAATGAAAAAAACCAAAAGCCATACAAAAACATAACTGGGTGAGAAGTGTAGATATTACATAGTGCTGATTTATCATATTCATTTTAAAACTTATTTAGATTATTTTTAAATACTATTGGGGGGTGCCTTCAAGTCAGTGTTGACTTCTGGTTACTGCCTGGACGTGTTGCTGTAGTTTTCTTGGCAAGATTTTTAGAAGTGGTTTGCCATTGCCTGCTTCCTAGGGCTGAGAGTGACTGGCCCAAGGTCACCCATGTGGCTTTGTGCCTAAGGCGGGACTAGAACTAACAGTCTCCCGGTTTTTAGACTGATGCTTTAACCACTACACCAAACTGGCTCCTATGTATGTTATGTTATATTAATTATATTTATTGTAGCAAATGAAAGAAGTATGAAGAAATACCATTGTGATAAGTGCATATTTTGAGGCAAGCTCTGCCTATTTTAGTTCTGGTCTGATCCTAGCTGAGTGTGTGTGTTTTTTTTAGATTTTTTATCTGGCCTTTATTTTTATAAATAACTCAAGGCAGTGAACATACCTAATATTCCTTCCTCCTCCTATTTTCCCCACAACAACAACAACC